ATAACCATCCAGCCACACGTGTGCATTCATTGCCTGGACCGCCTTGATCAGGTACCTACCTGCTTGGTGCGATGCCTCTGGAGGTCCTCCCGCGTGATGATGGCCGGCAGCTGGCAGAACCTGCACTGGCTGGCGAATCGCAGGGCGTCTGCCGCCTCGTCCCACCGCTGGTGCTCCACCAGCCACAGGCACTTGAGCTCCTCGGCAGCTTCCAGGCCGCTGTGGGGGTCACCGAACGACACCACAGTGTCCAGCCGTGTGCCGTCGTCGAGGCGCTTGGCGTGCAGCGCTCGTCTGAGTCGTCCGCTGAGGAGGCCAGGGGGGGTGTCGATGAGGAAGGGAGCCGCTGCGCGAATGCTGCCGAGGTCTCTCAGGGTATATAACAGGTCTCGCTGGTCTTCGCGATGGATGAAGTCCAGGCATTGGCCACGAAACGACGGCCAAGCCCTATCGGCGCTCCTGCTGCGCACGTTGCCCATCAGTCGGATCAACTACAAAATAACAATATTGGATTTCAGTCAGAACTCTTCGTCGATCGCCAAGCGATGTCCTTTTCCCGCAAACAGCTGACTCTAACCCATTTCTGAAGCCCGGCGAGTGAATTCATTCGCCGCAAAGGATGGCTGACCCAGCGTAGCGTAGGATGGGTAAGTGTCACGTCTCCTAGCCAGACAAGATAAGGATACACCGACTGTCGCAGACACTCTCACTTCTCCAGCTCCCTGACTGCAGACACTCTCACCCACTCCATGAACCGCTCCATCCATTCGTCCGTCCGTCCGTCCATCCATCCATCCCCCCTTGCATCATGCTGACTAAAACAAGAGCCCGGGCTTCATTCACAGATAACTGACTGACTTGGCTGACTGACTGGTGGATGAGACAGACAGACAGACAGGATACCCACGGTGTCCTGCCGCCTCCGGTCGGTGCAGCACGGCCAAAACGAACGAGAGATGTGTGTACACACGTACATGTACGTACGTATCCAAACATACATAGGTATCATATACTGTACAGGTGGTCACATCGCACGTGTGAAAAGTACACACCACACCCTCGACCAGCCGCGATCTTCCCTGCCCGTCTGCCGCGGTGTCTGTCTTCTCTTCTGCCTTTCCGCTCCGTTGCAACAGGCGGCGTGAATGCTGCCAGACACCACGGACGGCATCGTGCAGCATTGGCCCTGCCCACGGCAACGCAGCAGAAGGACACAGAGACACACAGCAGACATCTGTATGCACACACGAAACGGAAAAAGCAACTCCCCGACGGACATCAACAACACTAAGGCAACCCATGGTCGCTCGCTCACTGATGTGTTCTACTGCTGACACAGGGATGAATCCCTCAATCCATCCACCCATCAATCTTCACTCGCACATGCATCCTGTCCCGTCAGTCATGCCCGCACGGCATTCTCAGGCAGATTGGGAAGGGTCGACGTCGCCAACAGCGACCCACAACGCTGAACACACACTCACACAGAGAGGAATCGATCACATCAGCCCCACCCATACACCAACCACCCGCCCGCCACTTCTGTCACTCCTTCCTTCACCTGTTTGTTTTGTATGGTCTTGATGAGTCTGGTCTTGAGAGGGTACTTGGGCTCGCTGGTGTTGCGGTAGGTGTTGAGGTGAGGATTGACATTAAACAGGGGATTGGTCACTGGCTGGTGGTACCCGAAGGGGTAGGTGGTGTAGGAGGGGTGGTGGGATGAGAACCCGGACGAACCCGTCATGCTCGAGCCGCCCGTGTTGCTGCTCGTGCGCCTGATAGGTAGGTAGGGAGAGAGGGAGGGAAAGACACACGAGAGCGGCGTCGTGGAGACTCTCGTCGGTGTGTGTATTCTTCTCTGCTCACTTTGAGTGGTGTCTGTCTCTGTGGTGTGAGTGGTGAGAGCCGTGGTGCCGCTTCGACGAACGGTCGCGCCGGCTCTTGCTGCTGGCAGGACAACAGCTGAATGCACACCACACCGATCAAGGAACGACACGTACGTCAGCTGATGGACATCACTGCCTGCGTGCACTTTGGTTGCTCACTATGGGCATGAGCAGTCTCTCCCTGGCCTCGCTGACGTGCACCTGACGAACACAGACACAATCGATGGCGGCAGATCCTGGTGGGGGTAGATGGTCTTGATTTGCTCACATGCAGAAGTAGAGTGAGGTGCCGACGACCAGTGTTGTAGGGAAGACGACAAAAGTGAGGAACACCAGCAGCCAATCCTGGAAGGCTTGTGCTGCACACCACACAACACACGACTCACCATACATGCGCGCAATCGGTGTGCGCCTTTGTGTCTTGTGCCTTACGTATGACTTGAACGACGGCCACTCGTTTGGGGTCGAGGTCGAATGCGTTGGCGTAGAGGCACATGTCGAAGCTCCTCTTCTGCTGCATCGGCAGGTCCTTGCTGAAGTGCCACACCAACTCCTCACCTGAAACACACACACACACACACACACACAGTGTCAGCGACATCCTGCCGACCGTCTTTGTGTCGGTCGGTTACCGAACGGTGGGGCGACGGAGACGGTTGTCCCGTTAATGTCCATCGTGTCTGATCAACACCAAGGCATGCAGTACACGCGAGCCCATTGCGCCCGCCTCCCTGAGTACCCTCCCTCACCGAAAGAAGGTTCGCGATTGGCGGCATTCCTTCGGTTCCTGCGCACCGGCCGCCCCCCTCCCTGCTGTGTCGGATACAGCTCAATGGCGTCCGCCATGTCCCTCTCGCCACCACGGACTGCAGACCGACCCAGCTGCAGAAACGACAGACCGCCGAGGGTGCCCAGCAGATCCGTGGTGGGACGCTGGCTGTTCGGTGAGGGAGAGACCTCAGAGGCCTCTTCTGCTGATGGTGGTTGTGGTTGTGGTGGTGATGGTGGTGGTTGTGGTTGTGAGACGTCGCGGGCCGTCTCCGTTCTAGTGAGTGCTCTGAGGGATTGTGTCGATGAAGAGAAGATGTTGGCCAGAAGAGATGGGAGGCGGGAGAGAGGGGTGGGGAAGGTCGGCGATGAGGAGGGGTCGGCATCGTCGAAGACGTCCTCGCCCTACATGGTTGACAGATGACACGACGGTTGACCTTGCACGCGTGATGGTGGGAGGATGTGTCGTGTGTATCATCACTCCACTCACCGTCTTCCACGTGACGGATTCTGTCTTGTACGATCCGCGACAGCCGACCTCGCTCGGCTTCACCGACACGATAGTGTCTTTGGAGAAGCCATCACCTTTACACAGACAATCACAACACAACACGTCAGGTCGAACGAGGGCACGCGACGTGTCTGCAAAGTGCTGCACTCACCCTGCAGGACGAGATCGAAGTGTACGTGCTGCATCGGGTGGACGGAGAGGGACATCTTGGAGCGAGCGTGCGCCCGCAAATGCTGTCTGCACACACATACCGACACGTAGACACACGCGTGACACACACGGCTGCTGCACACGTGAGTGTTGGTCTGAAGGTTGCTTACTCCTGCTGTTGTACGTGAGGCTTCATGCACAGACCATCGGCAGAGCGCCTGCACCCATCTGCAGACAGCAGCCGGCAGCAGAAAAGAAAAAAAGGGTTCACCTGTGCAGTGCACAGGCAACGCTTTGCTCACCTGGAATGTCGACGTCTCCCACGAACGTCCCCTCCGATTTGGACCGGGCGCTCGGGTAGAGACACAGTGTGTAGGTCTTGCCCCACTCACTCGAACTCTCCTTGCCCAACTCAAACACTGAACAAACATGCACAATACGACACCAATTGCCCGTGCGACTGATCTCCCTACCCGCCTTTGCTCACGGATGTGCTGCTCGTGGTGTTTGCGGCGCCTCAGGATCTCGCCGGTGGCACCTGCAACACACACACACACACACACAGAGCAGCAGAGGTGCTGTCAACACAGCGTAGCATGATTGTGTGCCTGCCTCGCTGACCAGCGATGCTGTTGTCGTAGGGTCTGGATTCGCATGACGCGTTGTTGGGCGCCCTCTCCTTGACACTCAGGTAGCTGTCCGGATCAAACCCGCTCCCAACCAATGTCACATTCACCGACCAACCACGCAAACCTGACAACAGCAGACGACGCGCAGAGAGCAATATGCAGGAGTGCCATGAAGTCTTCCGCCTCGTCGTCACTCACCGTCGGCCAGCGCTTCATTTTCAAGCATGCGGTGGACCGCAAACAGAGTCCTCGGCACCCTTATGGATGCCCGCTTCGTTTTCTTGCCCGACTCAAGTGCCCGCTTCGACTTGCCCTTGCCAGGCTTTTCGATGCGGTTCCGCGCATCGCGGCTTCGTAACGCAGCTGCCCAGCCGATGAGCACCGCCGCGATGGACGCCAAGAGGCCAGACGGAGCCATCCGGAATGGTGGAATGATCTCAGGGAAAACGAGCCGCGCAATTCACATGCTGCCAATGCACTAAGACACAGCTGGATCTACCCTTGGGGACCTTCCAACTTCGAGGCAGGCTCTTCAAACACCACAACCGTTTGTCCTCTCAGCTCGCGCTTCTAAGCTCGCAATCTTCGAGGTGCTCCCTGAAACCGCTTCCCCGAGGAGGCTGGATGTGCAGTTGTGTCGAGGATGAAGTGGATCTATAGCATCTCGACGCCAAACTGCATCGGTCGCATCTTCTCCTTCGCCGCGGCCCTTTGCGCGCTGCGGACATCAACTACAGAGTGTTCAGCCGTATACCGAGCGCCCCTGAAGAGCAAAGCAACGTTTATCGGTCCCCCTCTTCTTCTCCGCGCAAGAAGAACGACATCCATACATCGTCGCTGCAGCGACGGTGCCATGGGAGACCTGCCAGACAACGATGCTTCGAGCCTCGGCCTTGGCTCGTCAGCAAGAGGCGGCAATCCCACAGCCGAGGGCGATGAGGTCCTGAAGGCGCACATCGAGTCCTTCCTGAAGCGACAAAACATGACAGCTGTGCTGCGCTTCGACATCGAGGGTGCTGACCATCTGCGTGATGCGCTCCATGTGCTGGAGAGCAGTGGCGACTGGTGCAGACACTCGAGGGCCATCCTCTGCATCCTCAAGCAACGTGAGTATGTTCCCTCCCTGCCGCTGACCATCACACACGATGACGTCAAGAGAGTCGCGGCGTTCCAAGACTGCCCAGTGCCGGTGAAGCAGTTCTCGCTCTTCAGCCACCTGCTCAATGGTGATCACAACATGACGCTCGATCGAAGAGATGACGGCGCCGTGACAATGGGCGGCCAATGGTTGAATATCTACACGAGGGACACGCTCCCTGCCGTTAAGGACTACTTCAAACAAGAGCATCCTTTTCTGAAGTCGTCCGATCCCGAGAACCCGCCTTGCAGCTGTAAGAAACCGTTCTGAAGAGAGAAGGGTCATTATTGCATGGTATGTGCGGCTGATGAACATGTTCAGATATGTATCGTAACTTCGGAAGACGTGATTATGCGGGTTTTCACGACGCCGTGCTTCTCCAGTAAGGACAGTGCAGAGAAGGTGTTTGTGTTTGTGATTATTTTGTTTGTACTCTCCTGATTTTGTTGGTCAGCATGGGGTCGGGTTTTGGCGACAAAGAGTGCCATAATGTTCTGGGGACTGGCAGCAAAATCCCCAAGAAAGAGGAGACTGTCAGCTTTCGAGACCAGCGAATCGCGGAGCTGGTGGCGCAGGTGAGTGAAGCGCAGGCTATGATGTCGTGGTCATGACATGTGCCATCAACTAGTTTGTCCCTCTGCCTTTGTCAGATGCCGCCCCCTTGGCACCGCATCACCATGACGTGTCTGTGTGGAGAGAGAGAGGATACCGAGGTTAAGCAGTTACGTCGCCTGTACTTGTGCGGAGACGATCCGAACGACAGTTTCCTCACGTATCTGCAATGTGCCACCAGAGGTGTCTTCCAAGATGCCAAGATGATGTATCTGAACACGTTTGAGACGCCTCTCCCTCCTCCTGGGGGGTGGGAATTGTGGCCGGATTGGAAGCCGTCAAGGTTCCCGGCTACGGTGGAGGTGGCACGGCGGGAGATGGGCAGTGATTTCGACCTCATCTTTGGCGAGAAAATGAGACGGGCTGAAGCCCGTGGTGAGTAAAGAGATCATGCGGGGCTGGATGACCGCAGGGACGGAGATATGCGGTGGATGGATGCATGTGACTGAATGGGATGAGGTTGTGACACTCTGTGCTCATGTGTAGTATAGAGTGACAACTGAGCTGGCTTAGGACGCTGCTCTGCTGTCATGTGCTCTCTACTGTTCCGCTGAGAGATCAGTCATCTGCTGTTGTGCTACATGAGAACAAGGCAGTTAGCTGACCTTTCAATGGAGGGTTGTAGACTTATGTGTAAAAGACATGCAGACTCACGATTGCGAATTGATGGACTAAAGAGTCTTCCATGGATATAAAACGTTGGCAGCGACCCAGCATAAATAAACGTGCGCCCACAACACACCCACCCCACAAGTAGATGCAGTGCGGGATAGTCACCACCTCCGGCACATATAAAATGTAGGCAGCAATCGAATCGATAGGCGCTGCAGTGGGGCAGATCATGTTTTCGTGTCTCTTGCCTGTCTGTCTGTCTCCCTGGCTGGCTGCATGTCTCTCCCCTCTCGGCTGTGGCCAGACGTCCGGCCTCCTGAATGGCGCGTTGGAGCTCCTCGGGCGAGGTGGCTGGGTCGACGGACAGCTCGCTGGCCTCCCGGACGGCCTCCACCTCCTCGTTGAGGGGGGCGTCGAAGCACCGGTCGTATGCGGGCGGACGGTCCTGACCAACGGGCTTGAAGAACTTCGAGTGCGGCCCCCCAGCGGGTCGAACCTGTTGCCGTCGGCGTTCCTCAGCATGTGCATGTGGGGGGCCAGCAACAGGTTGGCCAGCAGCGAGCACAGTGAGTAGGTGTCGGCCGTCCGGCTGGACGGACCCACGATGGCTGTCCTGTCACCACTGCCACTGCTGCTGCTGCTGCTGGCGCCCTGGCCGATGATGCGGAGGAGGCTGGCGGCTGCTCGAATGTTGGCGGCTGGGTCTGTGTGGGGCGGGTTGACGGGGGGCGGGGTGATGTCGCTTGGGCGTGTCGGCTGGGGCGAGAGGGGCTGCTCGGCAATGCCGATGTCCTGGGCCATCTCCAGGTCGATCCACCGGCCTCTCAGCTCACCCTTCGTCCCCTCCTCCCCTTGACTCGTGCAGGTGGGCCGCCACTCGACCAGCACGTTATTGCCGCTGGCATCCCGGTGCACCAGGCCGCCGCGAAGATCTCCGCCTGCGACACGAGCAGAGACAGGGCCAGCGAGCGGATGTGGTGGGGGGCGATGCCGAGCTCTTTGAGGGTGGTCTGCAGGCGCTTGATCTTGTTGACGAGGCAGTTGGCTGTCGGCAGGTCGGCCCTCGCAGCAAAGAGGTCCGTGAGCGAGACGCTGTTGGACCAGATGGGGTCCTCCTCTGCCGCTGTGGTGACCTCCTGCTGGTCGTCATAGGGGCTGATGCTGTCGGCCTCCCACTCCTCGTCGCCATCGGCCTCGTCCTGCTGCTCAGCTGCCGCCCTGGAGGCCGCAAGGGTTTCGGCGCTGATGCACAGCTCCATCGGCCGCGGGCAGAAGTCGGGGGAGGCCAACATGGCGTCGCACACAGGCAAATAACAGACAGACACGTGGAAGAGCTGCGAATGTGTGTAAATGTGCCGTGTGTGTGGCGACCCACCGGCTGCCCTGCCCATCGAAATGCCGCCAGTCTCCTTCCGCGACGACTGTGGCTTCGAGGCGGTCTTGCGGTGGCGCAGCCGCTCGGCAACAGAGGGCGTCAGGAAGCCTGGAGTACACAACGCAATGCAACTCAACGGGGGAGTGCGTTTGATGTCCGCGTCTGTGTGCGTCTGTGTGTCGGCTGTGCTTACTTATGTATTCTGATATGGATATGTAGAAGTGCCCCTGGATGCCCATGACCACCCGCTTGTAGGCCGCGTTGGGGCGGTCGGCCAGGTCCTCAGGCACGCGTGTCTTGTCGATGATGATGTAGTCGTGCCACTCCTTGGGCAGCAGCCGAATGGGCAGGACTCCCGTCGTCGGCGCCAGGCTGCCCCTCGCGCCCCCTCGGGCCACTCGAGTGACTGGTGGTCGGCGGGGACGCTGCCGGACGCCTTCAACGCGGCCGTGATACCGCCGCCGCGGGCTGACAGGCGCTTGATGGCCTCCACCTCCCTCAGGATGGTGCTGCTGGCGTCCTCTGGCCGCTGGGCGAAGCCCAGGGGGATGTCGCACTTGAGGACGACGCGCTGCCCCGACGCCAGGTGGCCCTCGATTATGGCAACTTCGCTGCTGTACTGCAGCATAAAGCGGCCGGCGGGGCTGAAGACTGACAGGACATCCAGTGCCGTCGCCTCTGGTGTGCCCGCCGCCTCTTGTGTGGGTCCGTCAGTGGCCGGCCCGATGTGTGCGTGGCAAAGAAAGAGAGAAGCGCCGTCTGGCGCAGCTCCCTCATCGTCGGTGTCGCCCTTTCCTTCTGCTGGGAGTGGTGCCGACTTACCGGACGCCTTGGTCCGCGGCACCGGCTCGTCGGCCATCTTGCACAGGCGGTGGTTGCGGCCGCGGTCCTTGACGGGCGTATAGCGGTTGGAGAACATGCTGTCGCGCACCGAGTTGCAATACGAGCCGTACTCGGGCCGCCTTTTGTGCAGACCCGCCACAAACTGCAGACACACAGAGAGAACAAGAGAATGTATTGATGCAGACAGACACCTGGTGTGACAGACAGGAGACCATACCCACCTCGTTGATCTGAGGGTAGTTTGTGCTGTTGATGTTGCCGCCGGGGATGTCGTTGTGGCACACGAAGAAGCTGGATGAGTGTGTAGTTGATGGTCATGTGCGTGGCAAACACGCAGGCCATCGACTCGGCCTCCGCCATGTGCTCCTCAAGCAGCTTGAACACGCCCGTGAAGGACTTCTCCAACTGCACACACACACACACACACACACGCATCCATCCATCCACCCGTCATCAGCCATGATTGCCTGCCCACCTTGACTATGTTCGTCCGCCGCGTTTTGGTGAGATTGTCGTTCGTCCTGCCGGCTATCATCTCGCTCCTCGCCTGCGCCACATAGCCGTCCACCAAGTTGTGCAAACAGCCGGTGGCATGAGCCATATTGGCGAAGAGCTCGTCCTTCTCCCAGCTGGCCGCTGCGGACTCTGGCTGCGCCGTCGATGCACGGGATGAGTGGGGGTGGTGCGAGAGCGCTCGCAGGAAGCACCACACCTGCACCACACCTGCCTGGCTGGCTGTCGAAGTACGACTCACCCAAGAAGGTGATCTTGGTGACACCGGGTGGCAGCGCCGCCCCATACTTGACCTCAGTGTCCTCGAAGCCTGCACACACGAACACCCAGCCGCCCAAAATGACCACATGTTGGTATGCAGCGATCGATCTATGTCACAGTGTTGGCCGGCCGACCTGGCTCTTTGGCGACGAGTTTGATGAGCTCGGGGAGCTGTTCCCTCTCGCTCTCCTTCTGGTTCTCCCGCTTCTGGGAGGACTTGCCGGGGTTCTTGACCCGCGGCACCGGCTTGTCAGCCATCCTTTTCGCCACAGTTGATTATGCGATAGAGACGGCTTCCCTTCCACAAGTCTTTGTTCCTCGTCCTTTTGGCGTCGTCCGGCCACTCTCGGTCGGCATCCAAGAGGTCGAGCGGCAGGCCACGTGGAGCAGCACGTCATAGGCATGCTGCAGAAGGCAGGCAGGCAGGCGCTAGGCAGGCGTGTGTGTTTTTGTGTGCGCACCGACCTGCCAAAACGCCCTGCTTACTTTTCTGATATTCAGGAGGCCTTGGTCTTCGGGCACGCATGTCCGTCATCGTCCCCGACTAGGTATCGCGACACAAGAGAGAAATGACAGGAATAAGTCAGTCGTCATATACCAGCAGCACAGTGTGGTGCATCGGGGCTGCACAGCCGGCAGGCAGCGAAAGTCATCAGAACTGCTGATGGCAGAAAAGGAAAAAGAATAAAACAAAGAAGGCCGTCTCCCTCCTCTCTCGAATTCTCGACCGTCCTTCTTACCCAAAATCGGTTCTTGCTGTCGTAGCGGGATTACAAGCCAGTGCGGCAGTATTGCATGGGGGGCAGAAGGGGAGTGAGGATACACAACGGATTCCAACAGTGGAGCTGCAGAAGGCAAGAAGGACTCATCCCTGTAGACAGCTGATTCTCGATATGCGTACCAGTGCCGTAGATAGCTGTGTGAGCGGCGTGGAAGGGGAGAGGAATGGGAATTCGGAATGCGATGAAGATCGCGACTAAGCTCGCCATGGTGCGTGAAACCGCTGCGGTGAGATCTTCGAGAAAATCGTCATGAAGAAACGTGCTGAGAAGAAGTCTGGTCGTTCTGGCGATCGTGATGCCAGCAAGGTGATGAAGGAGGGCAAGAAGAAGCGAGGTGGTGAGCCAACCATCGACAGGAGCCGAGCCGAGGCCTTGATTCCACTCATTAAGAACAAGCAGAAGCGGCGAGAGCTCCTTGGCAAGCTGTTCCGGGAGAAGCAGAAGGAGAAAGCGAAGTTTAGAAGAGCGAGGAAAGCCGCAGAGGCGCGGGGCGAGAAGGTCAGCACCGCCGAACACGCAATGAATAAGCCGACACACATGCCAGTGTGCTGTTTTCAGGTCGAGAGGCAGAAACCGAGGACCATAGAGGACATGCGGGAGGCAGACGACACCATTGGTAACACAAGGGAGAGGATCAGATGCTTATGTGACAACACCGATGTCTTGTTGTGTTGCAGTGACCAAGGAGGACGAGGAGGTCCAGGCGGAGGACGCTGCCGATGAATTCGCCTCTTACTTCGATGGATCGAGGCCGCCAAAGATCATGCTCACAACCAACAAGTGAGCTGCGGAGGGGGCGAGAGGGATGACAAGCAGCGCATGGATGCTGATGGTGTCTGGTGTGTGTCAGGCGGCCGTCTGCTGAGATGTTTGATTTCCTTAAGGAGCTGGTCGCCATCATACCGCGATGCTTCTACCATAAGGTGAGCCGGCAAGACATCGATGGGTGCGCACATAGCCGCATTATCTGGTATGCTTGGCCGTTTGCAGAGGGCGAATCGCGAGATCAAGAAGATGGTCAAGTATGCGTGTGACAAGAACTTCACGGACCTCATCATCGTCAACGAGAAGGCCAAGCGGCCCTTTTCACTCTACATCTGCCACCTGCCAGGTGCCCCCCACGGACGCCACATCACATCTACTGGTGGCTAGTTACCATTCCCTGCCGTCATCTGCATGCAGAGGGCCCGACCACCTTCTTTCGCCTGACGAGGCTGAAGCTTGCACAACACATGAAGGTGAGGGAGTGAGCAGAGCGCACTGAAGGAAACGTGCACACACTATCTGGATCGAATGTGCGGCATTTGTCGTATATCGTCAGGGTGGTGCGACGTCGAGTGATCACAATCCTGAGATCATCCTCAACAACTTCGACTCACGAGTCGGACACAGGCTGGGTGAGTTAACCGCTCCACACACATGGCCGCATAGATGATTGCTCTGCCTGTGTTTGTGTGTGCAGGGCGTCAGTTCGCGGCGTTGTTTCCGCAGCGTCCTGAGTTTCTGGGCCGTCGTGTGATCTGCTTCCACAACCAGAGGGACTTCGTTTTCTTCAGACACTACAGGCACGGTTGTCACAGGCAGACATATGTGAGTCAATGGTATGGTTGTTTCGTTCAGGTATGAGTTCGACAAGAATGGGGAGCGGACTCGGCTGCAGGAGATCGGCCCACGATTCACTCTCAAACTCAGATGGATGCAGGCAACCCACCACACCACACCAGACGACACGAGCACAGAAGCACCAATGCTCTGTGTGTGTGTGTGTGTGTGTTAGGAGGGTACGTTCAACACGACATCCGGCGAGTATGAGTTCCTGTGGCGGCCGGACCTGCAAGTGTCGAGGAAGAAGTTCTTCATGGGATAGCGGGGTGGATTGATGAAGCAATCACAGTCAATCTGTGCATGGGTGCTGTGTATAGACAGACAGACAGACAAACAGACATGCTGCATGTCGACGTCGATCATGTGACTCACACTCTCTGCCCGTGCACGTGATTGATTGACTGATAATTGATCGACTGACTCACTGCTGGCATGCATACATATGTAACCAGCGTACTGATTCACTCAGACACCATGCGGCATGCAACACGGTGACAGCACACTCTACGATGAGTGTGTCGCATTCCTTCACGACAAAAACAACAGGGGCCGGTCGCTGAGAGGCGAGATGGCGGCGCTCAAAGCAGACATGACCATGTTCAAACAGTCACTCGACAACCTGCAGGTCGATGAGACACAGACACAACAGACGCAGACGTGGAGGATTCATTTCTTTCCGTGTTCCCGCAGGCTGAGATCATCCGCGGGCGGCAGAGGCAGTGGCAGCAGAAGAAGCTTGCCAACGTGCCCAAGTGTCTGCCACGTAAATAACAGACAAACAAACATCCACGCAACAACGAGTGCCATTTGGTCTGTTCCTGAATGCAGAGATTCCAGCGCATGGTCCATCGCGTGAGGACGAGAGACGGCCCACCCGCATTGTGCCTGAGGTGCCACTAGTCGCCAGTAACAACCAGCCCAGCAACAATCCGACCAAGAAACGCAGACTGCTGCTGCTGCCCATGACAAGCAGGAGGAGCCCTCGCCAGCCCTCACACAAAGACAATGCACGTGCCGCCGCACTCTCGTCCAAGAGCAGACGCTCTTACAGCGAGGTATGCAGGACATACACAGCAAATGTCTCGCTTGTCGATGGATGCTTGATGTATGTAATTACACAGGTGTCGTCTTTGGTGTCTGGTGTCTCTGGCTCCAAACTCAGCAGCGGCAAAGGATCGCAGAAGAGACGTACAATAATCCACTCGACGTGTCTGTGTGTGTGATTGCTCCTTCTATGTGTTGGTTTGTGTCAGGTCATCGCAAGGTCCGGGAGCTTGTGTTGCACTGTGCACAGGACGGCGGCAGGACCGAGACCCACCCTGTGTTTGATGAACTCGAGTGTGGCCTCTTCAAGGAAGAGGACGAACAGGTATACATCCGAACATACAGCGAGACTCAGATGGATGTACGAGTGTCTTCTCTACTGGTTTTGTGCTATCTCTGTGTCCAATCAGGAGTTCTTGTGTCTGCGTGCGTCAAATGAGAAGAGCGGCCACATGCCAAACGATGACGACCAGCTCACTCAGCAAGACGTACCATGCCAGCTACACCAGCCATACCATGCGATTCTCCTCCTCTCCCTCTTACTTCTCTGTGTGTGTATGTTCTAGTCGCTGGAATGGGCACAGCAGATGATCCACAAGTATCTCCAGCAGTTGCCGACACTGCTACGAGAGCAGGTGGACGAGCACGACCTCATCCACGGCGGGGCGCAGGCAAATCGCACTGAGAGTGTGAGAGAGATGCTTGTGCCTCTGTGGCTCAAGGAAAGGCATTCGTGCACAAAGTGATGACTGATTGACGGCTGCGCACATGCATGTCAGACGCAGATGCATGTAATGAGTGGATCCGAGCAAGAGACACAACATGCAAAGATCGACAGAAGGCGTCCCTCACAGACCAGAAAAGCAAGAGTCATTTTGATCACTCGACTTGTTGTGACGTCTGTGCGCTGGCGCCGAGCTCGCCCTCTTCTTCATCCTCTTCGTTCTCCTCCTCGCCCAGGCCGAGAATGTCCCGCGCAAAGTCGTGGGGGTTGGACACATCGGCAAACACACTGTGCACAGAAGAGTCGCCAACCAACGCCTGAAAGAACAGGGTGTACATGCACATGGAACATGTCTCTCTATGCCGCGTTCGCACCTGCAGGCAGTCCTCGAGCCCCTCAAGTGTCATTCGCTCCCCAAACTGATCCATTGCACGCATACAGAAGGATCCGTGAGAAATGACGGATGGTGAGGGCCTTGCTGACCTTGACGAGTATCTGCACGAGTCGGTCTTTGTTGACGGGCTGGCCGTCCGTCTTGAGCGCATTGAAAGCCGATGCTACCTGATCAGTCGTCACCGCAAACACCGGCCTGCATCAACAAGCACAGCAGGGGATGGAATGACTGGGCCTGTGTGTTGGTGTCTCCTCGCTGACACTCACCTATGGTTGACGTAGAGCTTGAAGAAATCGTCGAACACAATCCTGTCGACGTAGTCGCCTGCACCCAAGAGGCTCAGACAGCAGAACCCCTCCGTATTCACGTGTGATTACGGGCTGACCTGTCTCAGCGAATTTGGAGTATTTGACTTCATTGATCATGTTCTGGATCTCCAGCTGAGTGGGGAAGTACCCGAGGGCACACATCAAGTGCGGAATCTCCTGCAGTCACAAATACAGATATGGAGGAAGAGAAAGGCTTCCGTGTCTCTCGCCTCTTCACCTCCACAGGGATGGTGCCATCGAGGCTGCGTGCTCGAGTGGTGTTTTCGTCCTGTGACCGGATCTGTGAGTAGTAGAAGTAGTCCTTCATGTCTGAATAGAACTCGCCCTGCTCGCCCCCCTCTATCAGCTTCAAGAAAGGCTCGATGCCGTTGCCCCCTACCCGCAGAATGAATACGTCTCAGCAAAGGCTACGTGGGCACGACAGGTGTTACCGAATACGGATGCCGCGGCGACGGGGCTGGGGTCCATCTTCCATTGGTTGATGGTGAGGTCAGTGCCGCCACACGTGAATGCGTGTTTGCCCTCGAAGTCGACGGCGATGGCCGCGATGTGGCCCGGCTGGGCTATCAGACCCATGCACTTGTTTGGGTTACTGACACACAGCAGGCAGCATATATACAAGTCGAGTGGATGATGGGCCAAGGGTCTCTCTCACCCATCAAGCGGCAGCTGCACCAAGCCCAGGACCTTCTCGTACGTCGAATACAGCATGAACTGCCTATCGGGGAGAAAGGCCTGACTTTGACAGATGTGCTAGCAGGTCAAGATCTTGTTGTGGCTTACTCGGGCCCTTCCTTGTCTTTGTACACGGGAATCATCTGACACACAGGGCCACCGTATGTGGGCGCCAGCGCTGTCTGCAAGCCAAGTCCAACACACACAAGACGCACATGACATGATGCCCGGCAAAGGCTGCCTCCGATGTCCTGCCAGCCACCTTTCTGCATGTCTTGTGTGTGGCGTTCCAGACTTTGAATTTGTACTCGTCGTTGAGTGTCAGCACATTGGCATTGTCGACCTTGCTGCCGTACGGGTACCACACGCAGCCGGTTGGCCTTGCCTCCTGCTCCACCTGTGTCACCATGGCGATCTGCAGCCCCGTCCACTCAGTGGAACTCTTGACATTGTACTCGACCAGACGGCGGTCCTCGCCTATAGAAAATAACCTGCATAGAGAGAGACACGAGAGACACGCCGTAGATGTGCGCGTGTGATGCATCTGATGTACCTGTGTTTGTCGCTTTCTGGTCCTGAGAAAGAGAGGCCGACAATGGGACGCCAATGCGACCGGTGCTTGCCTGCGCAGAGGAGGGATAAGGAAAGGCAGGACATACGGACGATACGATGTCCTCTCATCTCACCCGAGAACATCCACTCGAGTGGGTAGTTGCGATCATTGTGCCGATGACCGTGCCTGAATACACATCAGCAATACGGCCGTGAGGCAGTGCAGTCAGGTGTGCCATTCACCTGTATAGACACACACATCTGTCGTGATGGGACACGGCAAGGTGAGTCGAATCGGGGCTAAACGCCAGCTGACCGGACACACATATACAAGGGCGCCATCAGTGTACGCTGTCATGTTTCCTGCGTCTTGTCAGCCCGCATGCATACGTGTGTGGCACATTCCTTAGAGTCTCGGACCGACACTGACTCTGACAGGTCATCCGACTTCAGAATCTTCACGGTACCGTTCGTGAAACCTGCACAGCAAACAAGGTGTCATCGACCCGCGGCGCATATCAACTGGGCAGACCAACTGGGCAGCTCACCAACGGCGAGCAGCTTTCCATTTGGTGAGAACTCCAGTGTGTGCGGCACCAGCTTCTCGAATATCTTGACCAGATGCAGCGACCGAGACTGGTAGTTCCACAGGTGGACAAAACCTTCGACCAGCCACACAGCACCCCAGGTGGTGTCATCGAAATGCCAGGGCTTTTTCCTTCACACCACACCCGAGTATCCGCAGACAGCAAGGAGGGGCAGGGCGGGATGACAGGAGAGGCCAAACACGGGCGAGTCCAGACCCTGCAGAACCAGACGACCTCTGAGAAAGGAGGGATGAGTGGCCGGCGACAGTCGGACATGGAGCCAACAGATGCCTGGCTCACCTTCTATCATCTGCGGAGAGCTCGTAGAACAGGTGAGAGTCCACCTGATGGTCGGACAAGACAGAAGCAACCACTCCGTACCAGCCAAGCGTGTCTCCGTTACTGTCTACCAGCACGACAAGAGCTGATGCAGTCGACACCAGAAAGGACGCACAGCGGAACTCCTCATCCTTTGAACCAGTGTCTACATTTGTACACAGCCAACTACACAATGCAGCGAGCTCGACACTCCATGCTTCCTTACCTTCTTCCTCCGCTGCTTCGAAGGACAGGGCCTTCACCGACCCCTGAATTGCACATCATAGCGTTTTGCACCATCGGCGAATCCCAACTTTTTAGTGTGCGAGTCTACCGCCGAAAGGTCTTCAAACCAGGCCTGGATACGGAACTGGTAGTCGTAAAACCTTCAACCACACATGTCAAATTCATAAAGGAAGAGCTGATGCGATCGTGTCGTACCTGACGGCGCCATCTGCGGCTCCGATGACAACGAAAGGTGTGTGGACGAGCAGCACATTGAGGGCCACATCGGGGCACAGCTTGACTATCTTGACCGCTCGCCGCTCGTCGGGACGACTCAACCTGAACGCGTAATGCAGCACTGCACTGCAGTTGTCCTATGTCGCCCATGTGTGTGATGATCACCCGTCGACAATCAGGCTGAGGTCCCAGATGACCACATCGCCGTCATAAGTACCTGCAGACGGTATTCAAGAAGGGCGGACGGATGCACAGAAAAGGCGAATTGCCCACCGGTGGCAGCCTGGGTGGAGTTGGGGAGAAAGATGGTCTGCGTGTAGTCAGCCACTCTTTGCTTGAAGTCCCCGGCCGACAGAGCGGGCGAGTAGAACTGGAATGGCTGCCCCGCGTCCCAAGTCCAGAAGAACACTCTCCTGCGACCGTTGGTGGCCAGCTCGTGGATGTCCCAAGCATTGAAGAGTATGCACGTCTGTATGTCCTGCGTGCCGATCACCGCACTGCACAAGGGAGCCGAGCTGCGAAAGCACGGGAAGGGAAGTGGCATATGGGCACCCCGATGGTCGTGTCTCTGTCTTGATGGGTACGGACCTTCCAGATGACCAGTCCCAGACAGCGATGCTTTGGCACTCAGGGTTGCCGTCGGCTGATGTCGAAGCAGGGCCCGGCAGCGCAGCCATCGACTTCTTGGTACTCCCTTCCTCCGTCTGCGACTTCTGACATGGAGAGAGGCCAGAACCCTACAAAGAGAGAAAGCCTGTGTGTCCAGGAGCAATGCTCACCTCTGGCGATGCCGTCGGTCCCTTGGTTGTGGATCCTCCGGCCGGTGCCGGCACCGGGGCCGACAGCGTCACTATGAACTTGGAATCGGGGGTAATGTCTAGCGCTATCGCGCCTGCAGTCGTCGCGTCCAATCACATCAGTGACGTGTGGGCCATTCCGTATGTGTTCTGCACTGACCGTTGGGATGTGGGTCGAGTATGGTTTTCATCGGCGTAGCTGATACGCGATCCCACACGACGAGCAGGCTATCGCTGCCCGCGTCCGCTGTGATGAGCCACTTGCGGTCACGAGAGACGGCCGTGGCCATGATGGGGTTCACCTGACACACATGACACCAACAGACAAGACATATGTGTGAAGGTTTACAAGCAATGGACATGTGTGTGCACTGCCTACGTGTCCCTGTAAGAGGCGCTGCTCTCCTGTGTTGTAGTTGAAGATAACACCGGTGTGTGCTGCCGCATAAAACATTTCCTGAACCACGCGATGGCCAAGCCATTCCCGAGGTGTCTTTGCAATGAGGGCCCTGATACCGTGGCGTCCATCTTGGGATCTGTGAGGTTGTGCACACCGCCGATGATGTCCTTGTTCAGCCCGAGGCTCCAGTGCAGAGACTGACAGACAAACACAGATAGATAGACAGACGGACAGACATATGCAGAACAGAGAGAAGTTGTGCCCTACCAGCGCCACAGAGTCAGCTACCGATGGCCCCAGCTCATCCGCTCCCCTCTCAGGGTCACGGGTAAATGCCTCGGGCTGAGGATCCATCGCAGACCACGCTCAGAGTTGTCAGGCCGTCTGAGAAAACGTCAGCGAAGTCTGAGGTTGCAGGGGCAGCTCAAAGCGGGTCTGCACACAGACGGGAACACTCAGTTTGGCAGCGCCTTTAGGAGCTGCGAGCTCGTGGATGGGGGCGGCCCACAGAGACTGCGATCCGGACTCGGAGAAGCTGACTGACAGCGTCAGATTGAGGGTGCCACGTGCCATTTGCACTGCCGTTCAAAGTCATCATATATCACTGGCACGGAGAAAAGCGATGGCGGCCTTCACCAATCGTTTCCTCTTCCCCGCGCCGCCACCAACCTACAACGCTGACCACTTCAATGACAACCTGTGCTGGGTCCCATGGTGAGAGGCCAACACCCCTTCCATCCATCCATCAGATACGTGATGCTATCTCTTCTTGATCCTGCAGGAACCCAGCTGTCGGTCCGCTCGCCAAGTACGTTGCTCTGCATCACCCGGAGAATGCAGATGGGATCCCGTGCCTGTGGTTCCCAGCAGAAAGGTCAGCACTGATGGCCCATGCCAACATGCAGACAGATGGGCACTCGGGCTTGACCGTTCCTCTTGCTCAGGGCCGCGACGGTTGTGATGTTTCTTCACGGCAATGCTGAGGACCTGGGGCTCTGCTACCCCTTCCTCAGGCACATGAGGGACCAATTCAAGGTGCAACGCAAGACACACACAGTCGCATGACGCACCTCATCTTGCGTGAACCTGATTGGGTTCCGCCAGGTGAATGTGTTGTCCTGTGAGTACCCTGCCTACGGGCTGCTCAAAAACCTCTCGCCGTCGCCCGATGCCGTCAACGAGGTCAAAAAGCACGAAGAAGTGAGAATAGAGGCTCCTCAGATCCCTTGTTCTGCTATTTGTAGGTCGTGACGACAGTGTTGCGGTATCTGGTGGACACGGTGGGCGTCGCCTACCCCCAAATATTCTTCTTCGGAAGATCTATCGGTAGGCGTAAGCGCGAGGAGAAGAGCACAAAGGAAACATCATGTGACCTGTCAGGCTCTGGCCCGGCCGTACATGTCGCCTCTCGCTACCCTGTCGGAGGCCTGATCTTGGTAGGCAGAGACATACACACAAATCTGGACCCGTTCATGTGTGATACTGACTGGCAGGTGTCGCCCTTCACATCGATCCGCGATGCTGTCAAGAGTATCGTGGGTACACAGCAACAAATGACAATGCCACACTGCCATTCGCAGCTCTTGTGCATGTGCTTCCTGTCAGGGCCGATTCCGTCGCTTTTCTTCCAGGACCGGTTCGTCAATAGCAAGCTAATCCAGGTAAGTGGCTTGATGGACAGAGACACTCGAAGAAAAGAAGCACCTGTTCGTTTTCTCGCAGAATGTGTCGTGTCCCACTCTGTTCATCCACGGCGAGTGCGACTACCTCATCCCTCTCTCACACTCAGAGGAGGTCGGCTGGGCCCAGAAGAAGAGACGTGAGACACTCATGGAGACATCTGTATGCTTTCATCAGCTCCACAGCCGTTGTCGGTCCAAGAAGCTTCTAGTGTGCCCCCCACACATGGAGCACAACTCAAATCTCTTTTGTGACGCCGAATTCCTAGCCATACCGGTGAGGAAGACACCTATGCACCGGTAGATAAAGCAGTGCAGCGCCTTACCTTTATCGCATCTCAGGTGATCAACTTCTTTGGTTTCCCCGGATATGCGATCGACAACCCACCACGCTTACCCGAGCACATCTTCAGGGCCGGGTGAGGAGCCCTTGGGAGGAAGGGGTCTGGATGGATGCAGATTGTCAGCACCTTGTGCCTCGTTTACTCTCGACAGGAAGAAACAGGTCAAGTTGACGGTTGACCCGTCTTCGTTCGTCCCGTGGGTCTGCAGAAACGGCAAGAGGGTAAGAAATGCCCACCGCTCAGGCACACTGACAGCGCTGATGGCCACCCTGTTTGTGGTGCCTGTTCTCAGATGCAAAATGACGAATTCGAAGTTCCTCTACGCCACTCTTCAAAAAGTGTGAACGAAACGGAACATTGTTGCACCGCCGAGCGTGACGTATGCGCCTTCCTTGATGTGTCTCGTGCAGGCGTCAGCTCTCAGCACCCGTCTGTCTCCTGCGAGGCCATGCGCTTTCCGCCGTGTCCACCGCAGCCACCATGCAATCACCTCACACACGAGGGAGAGGAAGACTTCTCCGGTATGTACCCACATCAGTGTCTCCTACTGACAATCACCTCTGTCGGTGTGTGCAGGTGAGTTCGACCGGTTGGTGTCGTCTGACAGCCTAGCCTCGGATTGGGACGACATCCTGCCGGTAGAGGAAGAGAGAGACAGTGCACACATACCTGGAGACAGCGGCCAGTATGCACACAGACGGTGAGGACGCAGTGTACCGACGCACCGATCGGCACCCACACCAATGTCTGCATGGGCGTCTTGTGTGGGTGCAGAGCGGTGTGTTCGTACCCTGATGGGAACGGCAAAGGTCTGGGTGGTGATGTACTGCCGCGGCCACCCACCGGCAGCAACATGAGCGATGCGCTTACGAGAAATGACTCCAATGCTGACAGAATACGAGGTGACGACGACATACGACATGGACGGCACAGCAGCTTGTATGCGTGTTAATGGCATTCAATTGCCTGTAGATGAGGATTCTTTCAACTCGCTTGATTTCTGGGAAGGGGACCTACACACGCCAGAAGAAGCGTCCTTGAGGTGAGAAAACGGAGACACCACCCAAATTCTGGGCATTCATCCCCGATGATGCCCGTTTATCTATTCAGGCAGTCGCTGCCGCCCTCAGCGCCTCCGAAGCGGTTCCAAGAGGCCACGTCCATTTCATGGCCACCATCAAGAAGGCAGAAACTCTCACCAAAAAACGCGCCCGTCAACACGTCCCTCCTGGTCGACGACGTGTTCCTCCCCCCGTCCCGCTCCCTCCCCGAGCCGCTTCGCCAGCCATCGCTCTGCCCGCAGAGGCGCTTCTCTCCCCCACCCTCTGTGTCGCTTGCGTCGTCGGACTCGGTTGATGAGGCTGTGTGGGCGGATGTCGTGCTGGCCGGCCACATTGGGGCGAGGAACGTCCCGAGAAGAGTCAGATAGGATGGATTGAGTGCATTGCTCTTGCACGTGTGGACATGTGCGTGTGCGTATGCGTGCGCGTGTGCGTGTGCGTGCGCGTGTGCCCTGTTGTTGTCAATGCAATGCCTCCATCCCCCCAAGCTCCCCTCAATTTTCGAGCTCCAGCCGGGATGTAAATGCATCGATAAATCGGGGAGGAATGGCGGGTCAACGGATGGTTCCGGATCCACCGTTTTGGCTGCCCAGTAGTCTGGCTGATATGTGGCGTGACCTCAAGTCGCTGGAGCTCAATCGAGAGTTCATTGCCTTCCTCGAGGACTCGGGCTACCCGCCGATGGCCAAGCATGTGCGCGACTGGCTGCTGTTCATGATCATTGTAAGGAGCCAACACACGCACACATGATGAATGGAGAGATCTGGCGCAACTGGTCTGCAGAAGAGCCGGGAGGGGGACGGCGATGTGAAGACGATGTTGCCTGACCATCTGCTGGTGGTGTGGAACGCTGGCAAGATCCACACCGGCTACTACTACGAGGCCCTTCCTCGCGCACTCGGCATAAGCCGCTTCATCCCGCAGTAAGGACGCTATACTGAGAGCAGCTTCATCTCTTCGACGTTTGGATGCATGGATCATTCAGTTCTCGTTGGGCGGAGGAGCGTCTGCCAGATGAGGAGAAGATGGCACGTCGGGAGGCGGCCCTGACCGCATTCAAGTCCACCTACGGCCGCGACTATGTTCCGTAAGCTCCTCCTCTCTCTCTCGATGGCGAATGTGTGGTTTGTACAGGAGTGAGGGTGCCGCTGAGGTGTTCGTCACGCAGCGTTCCTGGAGTCCATCGAGCCCCGCAAGGCATCGAGCAAGGGCACCACCAGGTCACACGCACAGCAGACACCGATGTACGGATGGATGAATGGATGGATGCATGGATTGCACTGTGCTGCGTGCAGCTACATCCTGCGGGATCGGGTGCCATTCACTTGGATCAACGTCAAGACACTGTCTGGTGAGCGTGTGTTGGTGCACGCGCTCCCAGAGGCCACCGTGGCCGAGGTCAAGTTCGCCGTCTTCGAGGTCAATCGCGTCCCCGTGCACAAAATGCGGCTCGTGCATGCGGGCAGGCAGCTTCAGGACCACAGACTGCTATCTGACTACGCTGCGCGTGTGGGACAACTGCACGCATAACCGACTCTCGTCTGTCTGTCTGTCTGTCTGTATGTGGGTGCTTGCAGGTGTTACTTCGCAAGAATGCCTGTTTCATCTGATTGTGCGCGAGTGAGGCCCGCCTCATAAGTTGTCTTTACTGACCGGCGTATGCACACAGAGAGACCCACAGACGGCCCACGTCATTCATTATGTATGTATGTACACACACACACGTCCATTCATCCATCGACAACCCCCCCCTATACTACCAACGCCATCTAGTCAACAGAGCGATAGTCGACCCGTTCTGGACATTGCACTCCTCCATCGTCTCCGTGTCGAGCGGCCTGCAGCAAGCCATGCACACAACGTGCCACCTCCCACCGGATGCCGTGCAGTCGGTTGGCATACATTCTCCTGTTGATGACGCAGTACATCCACGGCTCGGTGATGGGAATTCCTGTGCGTCTGCGGATGGCCAGCTTCACCTCATACACAGTGGCACTGGGTCGCACCAGAAACTCGCCCTTCGTGCCAGTACATGTGGCCGCACGCACGAGCAAGTACTCCACTCCTGGCGTCTTCCACCTGACGCACGACACGCAGAAACGCATGACATTGATCAGCATGGCTTTGTTTTTTTTGGCGTACCGCTCATGGGCGGCGGGCAGGGCGTATTTGAGGCGTGCTTCGCTTGCCCGCCTCTCTTCTGCAGTGCGCTCTTCGTCGACCGAAAGATCCCTGCAGACGAAAACGTAAACAGGGGAGGCAATGCGTCCAGCCCTCATGTCCTCTTTCTCTGGTCAGGCAGTTTAGCTGACGAGAAGTATTCGAAGCCCAGGATGTCCTTGAACACCATCCGATCCGCCTCCACGCTACCATCATCCTCTCTCTTGAATTGCTCACACGGCAGGATGGCCACCCGGAACGATACGCTGCGCAAAATATATACAATGGACCACCAATGTGGCGTCTGTCTGTCTGTCTGTCGAGTCTTTCCCTCACGTACTGAATAGGTGCTTCTCGCATGCCGATGACGCGACACACCTCGCTGTAGAGGTCAGGATGCTGCAACACCGCACGCGATACCTGCAACGAAAAGTACAGATGCCGGCTGCCCTTCTCTCTTTTCGATTCTCGTCACCATGCGTACCGCTTCGAGATGCCAAGGCAGGTCAATCCTTCTACACTGAGCCGCCTGCAAGTGAGAAGAACCGGCAACACACGCCGCAGGCAAACAGATAGACGTTCACCCTTCACCCACCCATCCCGCCTTACAACGATCATCCAAAGGAGCCAGTCTCGGACAGCCAATCTGGCATCGTAGTAGCCACGGTAGCGGACCTGCTTGCTCACGGCAATGAGGACATCTCCCCACGGCAGCTGACCGAGTGACTGCCACACGCGCGTCAGGTGCTGAGGGAGGGGCTGCTGGACGGGTGCGATGCTGAGTAGTGGCACCACGGCCGTGCGGAAGGCGGCGATGTCGGCCTGGTTGTCACACACGTGGTCAGATGCCATCAGGCAGGAGAGGGTGTGATCGTCGAAAGCCGTCACGTTGGGGGCCAGTGCGGGCAGCCAGTGTCCTACAATGCCGTGTAGACGGTCACTCGAGGAATCGGTGAGGCACTGGAGCAGCCGCTCACTCACTCGGCGATCTAACGCACTGCAACAGACACAAGGAAAGAGACCAAGTGAGTGGACCTGAAGAGGGCCCGTCAGCACATATCGCACCTACCATGCCATGTCCTTGAGCTTCCCCCAGCTCCGCTCCACGGCGCATTTGCGCAGGTAGTGCAGCGCGATCTCACACATCGGCAACACGCTCGCCTGCACCCGCACCACCACGTCGGCCAGCGTCTTGTCACTCACACCCCTCGCTGACAGCTCCGCTGGAGGAAGGTTGGGGGCTGTCAGCCTGAGCCGGGTGTGCGTCATGCTGCCGAGCGCCACCAAACCGAAGGCCCTGAGTGGTGACTGCGGCAGCTTGTCGCCAATGCTGCAAATCGGGTCAGGCGCTCCATCGACGTACACGGTCGCTGTTGCCGCGAAGCAGCGGACGAATGCACCGCCCCCGACCTGCCCGCGGACAGTTGCTCTGGCCTGCTGCTCGACGCTCACGCGCACGGCCCACTCGGTCACGTCGGAAAGCCGTGACTCCGATGTGCACGTGAACGGCTGGACGGACACGTCAGTGACGAAGCGGCTGTCGGATATCTCGTCGGGGTCGCTCATGGAATGGTCGAAGGGGCGGGTGGTGATATCTCCGAGAAGCTCCTGCTCAAACACGCGACCTGCATGCGCCAAAACCAAAATGCCTGCATCCCACCGCACCTTGCCAGCTCATTCCAATCACTCACCCAGCGCTTGTTTGACGTCCTGCGATCCAGTGGCTTCGGTAAGGAAAGTCGCGAGGTCGCTGCTGGAGGGGTCCATGACGCCGCTGGACATCTGGCGACTCACTCCCTCCACCAGGTCACGCACACACTGGTGGGAGTCAGGCTCAGACGAGGGGGTGCTGATGTCTTTGATGATGCGGGGACGGGCGAACAGGCAGCTGCAGAGCGCGTCGAGCAGGCCTGCGTCCTCCTGGATGAGGCGCGTGACGACTGGTGCGGTGGGGATCTGCTTGAGCACCAACACGGAGAAGTCAACGTCGTCGCACCAACGCGAATCTACTACCTGAGCGAACGAACGAGCAAACATCCAATCGGTTGGCCAATGCGTATCACAGTCAGTCATGTCAAGCCCTTTCCCACCTTGGCTGCGATTTGCTTGAGCAGATCATTGAGGCTCTCCCTGTTGTCAGCAGACTGGTCGTGGTCGGCGCCGAAGCCCAGGAAGTCGATGACTGCCAGCACATCGATAAGGTTGCCCGAAGTCACCCCCTGCACGATGGCCGACGCCGGGCGCTGCAGCACCACCGCCGCCACATCACGAGTGACGCCCTCGAGGATGCTCAAGCCGCCACCATCGGCACCACAGTCCAATGCAGCACTCTGCGGACAAGGCACAGACAGTGAAGAACCAAGATCTGTGAGCTGTCCGTTGCTCGTGCTTTCTCTCCTCACCTCGTAGAAGTTGCATTGGCTGCGGAAGTACTGGAACTGCAGCAGCACGCTCCTATGTACAGGAATGCTGCTGGAGCCGTCTGCCGCCTGAAACACCAGAGTGACGAACCCGTCTTCTTCCATGGATGCCGGCTGCTGAATCAACGCTTGCTGCCGACCAGCAGCTTCCAGGGAAGAATGGTGTTGCTCATCGGGCTTGAATCCATCGCTTGCTCAGCTTCCGCGATCCGGCCTCCTTCACCGGAGCAAGCATTCTCGAAAGAAAGGAGGCCAGTGGGCACCGTAGAGCTCCCGGACGGCCCATGCATCATGTGTGGATTGGCGATGGCCGTGGTCGACTGACGTATCCAGAGCCTCAGATACTCACCGCTGGTAGGCTTTGCTGATGACACAGTCATTACGTGGTCATCTCATTTCATTGTTGCTGTGCTTTGCCTCAATGACAGCAGATAGCCCCGACGAGTGGCCAATGCATCCCTCCCTCGTGTGCAGATGAGTGGCCAGACGGGGGCGGCCAAGCAGGATACTCTGTCACTGACTGACCCATACCTGTCCATCACATCGCCTGGTGAGCAAGGACAGACCCGCTGCCATCACACCATCACACATGTGCTTTGTCTTCAGCCTTGGTACAATGATGGCGGCGCAACCTGCACAAGCATCATCGTCGTCATCAGCTGCAGCAGCGGCACCAGCACCACATGTATGTGGGCAGCTGACACACACACACACACACACACAGTGTGTCATCCTTTAATGAGCTCTGCCTACGTCGGTCGTTTGTTCGTTTCACCAGGGGGCGCCATGCCGTGGGCCGTGTGGTTACCAGAAGGGCAGTCGTGTGTGGGTGGTGACGGAGAAGCGGGACGAGGGCGAGCAGGAGTGGGTCAAGGCGGACGTCTACCGCATCGACGGGAGGACGGTGTACATGCGGGAGGTGGGCGGCGGGGAGGGCTTCAAAGTCACTGTGCCGACCAAGACCATTCCGCCCACAGAGCTGACGCCACACGCGGTGAGCAAATGAACGACAAGATGATTGACCCACTGGTCCACTCATGTTTCCGTTCTGTCTGAGTGCAGGTGTGTGACGGCTTCCGTTATCTCCGCTCAGGGACGCCGCTCAAGGAAACACACTACGGCAGCAAGAAGGTACACACACACACCCCTACACTCACAGCACACGGATGTCCGGTCTGTTCACCGTTCATCATTCCTTCCCCTCTCCCCCTGTCAGGCCGTTGACCGTCTCGGCAATGACGAGTTGGCATCGCTGTTCGGCTTTTTCAGCCCTTGCGAGCTGTCCGCCCTCTTCTCACACCGCTCCCCCGTCCGCAACGGAGCTGTCCAGCAGCACAGCCACATCACCATCGACGCATCCACGCCCGCCGAGTGTCAGTTTTGGACCAGCACGACCACACAGGACGCCTTCAAGCTCGGCAGACGGCTGACCAATCTGACGTCCGCTCACGTGGTGCAGCCACACACCCATCTGGAATGGTGCGTGAAGACATTGACGGCCGTCGTGGAGGGCCATGCTGCGGGCCGCCGGGCGGCGCGGGAGAGGGAGAGCTCCATCGAGTCCATCCACTTCAGCTGCCCGACCGACGTCCGTGCCGGCCAGGTGTCCATCCCGGCCCCGGCATCCTTCTCTCCCCCTCCCCTCTCCCCGTGTCCAGCTGCCGTCCCTCAAGAGCATCACGGGCCTTCGTGAAGCCCACGAGATGCTCGAACGGGGCTTGGTGATGCCTCACCTGGAGGTCGTGACCACGGGAGGAACCTTCAGGCTTGCGACGGACGACTTCGTCCGCTTTCTGCGGCAGCTGATCAAGACGTCTTGGTCCCTGAAGCGGCTGGCCGTGGGTGGGCTTCGTCGCAAGGCGACGCTCTGCGTCCTAGCGGGCATCCCTGAGGGCGAGAGGGGGGAGAGGGGGCCGCTGGCGGGGCTCGAGCATCTGTCGACGGTTTACCTGGGACCCAGGGAGGACTTCGAAGAACTTCAGGCAAGTAGAGGGAAGGCGTCGCAGAGCTCACACATCATTGTGCTGTGTCGGTCTCCTCTTCAGAGGCTGTTGGTTTCTCGCGGCTGCAAGCAGTCAATCCGCCATCTCGGGGTTGGCAGCGCCGTGCCTTTACGGGACCTTCCACGAGGGGAGCGTCATTGGCTCCATTCCCTCAAGCCCTTCGCCGAGGCAGTCGCGTCGCCCTCCGTCGACATCGAGTGCTGCCTGCCCGCTGTGGGCTGCCTCAACACATTCCTCGATTCGGCATTGCTCAACACGCCCTCCCTCGCCAAGCTCCTCCAGGCCATGGCAAAGGGGGCCGGGACGACCGGCCCATTCGGTGGCCCGGAGGGGGACGCCATCACACTGGAGGTCACGCAGGCCATCGTCGACGGCAGCAACGACGTGATGGGGCCCCTCACCGAGAGGGCGCAGCAGACGGCAGCCAGACTCACATTCGAGAAGGTGAAGAAGGTGGTGATCTGGGCGCCGGAGGGTCTGGACATCCCCGAGGACTTCCCTCCCCCTTCCATCCCCGCACTCCAGCACCTGTCGCCCCAGGCATTCCCCAACGCGACACAGCTGTTTGTGGGAGCAAGACCCGTCGGTCCCCAGGGGCCCCAGGCAGCTGCGGATCTCACGAGCCGGATGCCGGCGCTCGACCACCTGACACTCACGCCTACTGCACCTGACACCGTCGACATGCTGAGATCGATCGGCGACCGAGTGCCACGCAAGGTGCAGCTGGAGGGTTTTCACATGGGCCTTCCACCCCCCCCCCCCAA